AGCTGTTGCAGGAAAGTGGTGGAGGCACTGCTGAGCCTGGAAGCCCCTCACCACAGAAGCACAAGGACTACGTGGACCTTGGCTTGCCTGAGAGCCCAGCTGAGGAAAGAGAAATGTTGCTCCAGGGAAGCAAGGAGAGCAACCAAGGAGGTGCCCAAGAGGAAAGTGGAGAAGGCAGGGTCAAGCCTCCCTTCAGTCGGCCACACCGCAGCCCCAAGAGGATGGGGGTCCACCACTTACATCGCAAGGACAGTCTGACGCAAGCCCAGGAGCAGGGCAACCTTCTCAGCTGAGGCAGGGCAAGAAGCAGCCACACGCTGCAGAGCTGTGGGATGCCTCCATCTGTCCACCTTCTGAGGGAGAAACCTCCCTTAGTACTCTCCTCCTGGGGGGGGCTCTGCTCTGAAATTTTATATTTATTCTCTTCTTTTGCTACCTGGAAGAGCTGGGGTCCCCCTTCCCTGGCACCTCAGACCCACAGTACTAGCACCCACAGTGTGCAGAAGCACACCCACTGCCCCAGCACACTTGCAGCTCTTTTCACAGCCTCACACTGGTGCCTGTACCAGAGCTCGTTCTTGGTACCCCTCGTCCTGGTGCCTGTGCCTCTTTATGCTCGCATCTTCCTTCCCACTCAGGTACCTGAGGCCCTGGGTGCTCTCATGCTGGTTGCCCGCAGCTGCTCTGCTCTCTTTTAACTTGTGCCAACAGGGCAGAGTGCCTGCGTGGTGGTGTCTGATTCCTGGGAGCCTGCAGGGGCCATGAGTGGGGCACAAGGACTCCCAGCAGATGGCTCTGGGCCCCTGGGGATGTGCTGGGATTGCTGGTGTCTCATTTTCCTGCTGGGTTTTGTTTTCCCTGGCTGCCCTCTGGGTGATTCTCCAGAATCTGCCTCTGCAGGTCCCCATCACTTGGCTCCTGCATTGGGCTCAGCACCTGGCCCCTGCTGAGGCAACGCACGGATGCTGGTGCTGTGGCATGAGGCACGGGTGCTCTCTGCCGAGGTGGTTTGGGGAGGCACTGCCTGCTAGGCGCTGGGGTTTGTGTTTCTGTGTCTCCTCCCTCACACATCTTCCCCCGCTCTCTGTGCTGTTATTTTGTTTGAACGGTGCTGATGCTTTGCTCTTGGGTGGGCTTCTTTCTTCTTTCCAAGCCTTTGGTTTTGGGGTGTATTGTTTTTTCTTTCTCCCCGCCCTGCATAAACAGACACAGCCATTGGCAGCCAGTCCAATGCCTGCATTGAGGGTGTGTTGAAGAGGCTCAGCTCTCAGAGCTGTGCTTCCCTCTGATCCTGGCCTCCAGCCTGCAGAAACCCCTCCAGACTCAAGAACAAGGTCTTGCCCTGGGCAAGCAAGGCACGAAGGACACTACTGGGCTTTTCTGGGCAGTGCTCGGTGCAGGGATGCAAGGGCAGTGTGCTGAGGAGCTGCTCCCTGTAGACACACTACCTCACGGCTCGGCAGCAGCCCTTTGCCAGGGTCTCCTTGCATGCCCCCTTTTCTGGGGGGCTCCAGGCTGGCTCTGGTGCCTCTCTGGGGCGTCCCCTTCTGGGTAGGGCCTCTCTGCGTGTTTTTCCTAGTGTAGCGTGATACTGTGTGACTTTTCTTCTCAGTCTTGTGTGCTTGATGTCTTGTTGGGGGGGGAGGGAAGGGGAGAGGTCTGTAGATGTAGGTATTTTTTTGAGGGCTTACAAAGCCCAGGCGTCCTGCTTTAATTTTTGTCCTGTGCCCTTCTCTGTCTGGTGTTTCTTGACTCCTCCAGTGGTGCGAGGCAGAGAATAGCCTGGTTCCCTGCGCTGTGTCCTCAAACCCTGCTGGCTGTCCTCAGCCTGCTGTCTGGTTTTTGAGTTGGGTTTGTGTTGTCCTCCCACCCTACTCAATGAGGGCTTTTCACTGGACTGTAGGAGAGCAGCCCTCTGTCCAGGAGGGAGCTCCTGTTCATATGCTTACAGCAAGATGTGCAGCCAAGAGCTGCCTGGGGGCCCTGCTCCCCTCCACAAACCCCTGTCTCTGCAAAGGGCCTGTAGCTTGCAGCTGGGGCCAGCCGGGGCTTCAGCTTGAGCCTGGAGGCTCCAGGGCCTGTGAAAGGGAGCTGCAGGCCTCTCTGGCGGCTGTGTAGGTCGGTTTGTGTACCCTGGCTAGAGCTGCTGCCTACACGCTCGCCTTGTTTCCCACCTCAAACAGTTGTGGAGCTGAATGCCACCCTCTGGTGGGGAGGTGGGACTCAGTATTTCACTACAGTATTTTGCTTGATACCTGTGCAAACAGGCTGGTGCTGAGAGCAGGAGCCTCCTCTGAGCCTGCAGGGTGTTCATCTCCCCTGTCCTGAACGTGGTGGTGTGGTCCTTGTGTTTGCTCTCATCAGCCACTCCACTGCTGCATTTCTTCTGTTCTTCTGCAGCGTTGCTGAGGGCTTGCAGCTGCAGCGGTTGCCAGCTCCTGCCTCACGGACATCACCTGGGGTTGGTTGCTCACTGAGAGGGCTCCTCTGGCTCTGAGGCTGTTGGTGGCTTGCCTGTGGGACAGCACAGCCACTTGGGCCATCGGGCAGGCATTGCCACTCAGGGCTCAGCCCCATCTCCCCTGAATCCTCGCATGCTGGTCAGGGGACAAAACTTACTCTTGCTGAAGCAGTTGGTGTTGATGGTGCTGGGCAGAGCCAGCCTCCCTCTGCTTTTGGTCAAAGTAGACTTAAAAGCAAAACAATGGAGAAATGGAGGGGTGGTAAAGGGGTGCCCAGTGCCTCACCAGACACTTCTGCTTCGCAGCTTTAGGCTGCTGGCAGAGGTTGAGGGGGAGCGGTGGCCTCAAGAGGAGCAGAGCTCGCTCTCTCTTGGCGGGCACAGTGCCTGCCCTCTGCACTCCTGCTTACCTCCAGCAGTATTGGCTCTGGGGCTTTGAGCTGACCCCGCTTTCAGCGTCCCAACTCCAGACTGTTAATCTGTAACTAAACTAATGTGTTTTTTTCTGAAATTTTCAAACTGATGTATATTTTAAGACCAGAAATAAACTATTTTAAAAGTAGGTGGCAATGGCTATAGTGTTCTCTCTGTTGGTTAAGACCTAGACTGGACCGATCCTGAGCATGTGAGGGAGCAGAGCCTCTTGTGGTACAATGTCCCAAGTTTGCTGAACTGCATGTGCCACCCACTAGCTCTCCCAGGGAGAGCGATCCTGTGACCGGTAAGCTTTCCAGGAGGCTGTGAATTCACTGGTCATCCTGAGTGCCCACTTCAGCAGCAGCCTGGTTCAAGGTGCTTGTGCAAATCAAGTCATCTGTGTTGGAGAAGAGGCGCAGTCCCAGGCAAGGAGTGATGTGTGGGATGAGCGGTGTTTTACTTCTGTAATCGTATCCAAACTGTGGAAACTGTTCTCTGAGTCTGAATGTAGACTGTCAGCTCAAAGATCAGGCTGAGACTGCAGACCAGAATCTTGACTCGGAAGCTGACAGTGGCTTAAAAAAAGGACAGATTGTTTAACCAGGCAACTTTGAGAAACAGTAAAAAACAGTGATGTGGGCAATTTTCAAGTGACATAAAGGCTAGGCTTGTCAAAACCTCTGCAATGTAGTTTGCTGTGCTATAAGCAGCCTCAGTGTTTCTCATAAAATTCTGCCTACCCCATTTCAAGTATTTTGCTGGCTGTCCTGTCTGATCTATGTCTTGGCAAAGACTTCCATGTGCTGATGTAGAGTAGGATGAGGTGGAGCTAATTCTTTTTACTATTCATTGGTTTTCTTGAAGCCCCAGCTCCGAGAGTCATGCGAGAGTATCAGTTCTCCATTTCAGAAACTGAGTTACGTGGGAACATGTAACATACCCCCTCCCTGGAATTCATAAGAATTTTATAATTCTAGTGTCAGTATTTTGTTATTTTTTATTTTGTGTGGGGAGGGAGGATTGGGGTTGATTGGACATAACCCAGATAGGAGGCCCTGTGAACATGAGAGAGAGGGAGTTCCTGTAGGATGTTGATACGGACATCTGGAAGTGTTTCCTTTTCATACTGAATGGTGCTGCAGAGATCAGAGATGAAATTTCCTCCAACTCCCAAGTTATGCTGCCTGTGCCCTTCTGACCTAGGTGTATGCAAAGCGTAACACAGGAAGTTTCTTGTTTCTTTGTCCCCATAATTAATTATTTTATTCTGTGTTCCCTTGAGTAGCAGCTGCTGCCACAATTTAATCTTCCAGCCTAATCTGAGTCTTGAAGCACAATCACCTTCCTTGCCTTGCTCCAGCAAGGGGCACTTGGCCGAGCAGTGAAACCCACAGTGCTGATGCGGGCTGAAACCTTCACCAGAGGGTGCACGGCTGGTGCCAAGCTCCCTGCAGATGGGCTCTAGCCCAGCCCTCTACCTCCTGAGCAGAGGGACGGCCTGGGGGACAGCAAATTGGACCTCCAGGGCCAGGCAAGCACTGTGGAGAACCTGCCTCTGCAAGGACGGAGAAAGCCCGCAAGCTGGGCAGGCGGCGGGGGCGAGGGGCTGCTGCCGCCTGCCGGTGCTCCGAGCCCCCAGCACAGCTCCTGCCTGCTCCTGTCACCGGGCCCCTGCCTGTGCCTATCGGCATCTGCCCCATCGGGGGCACGGAGTGACGGAGGCTCACGCCACCATGAGTGGTGCCACGTCTGTGACCTTTATAAAACTCTCATCGCGACAGCAGTACAAGCAATAGAAAGAACATCTCTTATACACATCTGAATAAATACAGCCTGTGCCCTGCGGGCACAGCTGGGCACGGCAGGGGGGAGGCAGGGCAGCGTGAGCTACACATGCAGCAACTGGACAATCACAAGTGGCCGACGGGGCGCGTGACAACACAGAGACGTGTGTAGAGATTCGCTCAGACCAGGCTCTGGCACTCAGAGAGCTGAGGCGTCAATAGGACGTGAAATGTGTGAGAAGACGGCTGGGGCAGCCCACCGGAGGCAGGGGGGCTGGCGGACGCACACTCCCCCAGGCACAGTGCTCTTCCCAGCAGAAGCAGGCAGGGTAGCCCAGCTACATTTCTGTTTCTGCTAAGAGGCTGTCACCGAGACCTGACGTCATCAGGACCATCTGGGAGCTGGAATCTGTGGCGAGAGAGGGAGAAAACCGTGAGCCATTTGGGCTGCCGGAGAGCGCGGAGCTGTACTCCAGATCCAGAGGTGAGGATGAGGAATTAGAGCGCTGCAGGTGGGAAGCAAACTGCTGAGAGGATTGTGAGATTAAGTAGTAACTAGGTCTATTCTGGCCATGCAGCAGAACAGAATCAATGTTTGGGGAGGGGGGAAGGCAGAGACAGCAGCAAGAGCCCAGGGTGGGGATCTGCACTTGTTATCTTGGCTGTCAAGAGGAACATCAGCTCTGAACCCTCCCCACATACACTTGCAGGTGATACTGGTTGTGCTGACCGAGCCATGCCCTTACCCAGACCTTTAAATCTGCACTCACCAAGTGTCTTTTCAACTAGAGAGATAGTGTCCAGGTGGGACGGGCTGGCAGGCTGCAAGCCAACTAAACCCACGTAGGGTGGTGGTGTTGCTTTCCCAAGAGCAGGGAACGCAGCAGGCAAGCAGCCATTTTATGTCAGCAGAGGCCTGGAAATCCTGACTTTCTGCACTGCATGAATGGAGGGTTTGTGCAGCCCTCCCCTGCCTGCCTCAGGAAGGTGAGGGCAGCTTGCTGGCTCTGCAACGGCACAGAGCGCCAGCCAGGAACGCTGCGACTCTCCCCACGCCAAGTGAATCGGCTGCAAGGAGGATGGGCGTGCATAGCAAGTAAGAAACTCAGCAGGGTACCAGTTTCCCATCCAAAAGCCTTTTTAAACAGAAAAAAAATTGTTTTTCCTGGATGTGAGGGAGGAGATCTTTAATGCCCATGTGCTTCAGATCCAGAGTCCTACACATTCAAAACTGCTGTGTGGGATCTCCATTTTGGGGATCAATTTCTGGAAACTGGATCCAAAACCTGGCTAGAGCTGTCAGTAAAGGATTTTTATGGCTCTAATAAATGAGGATCCAGATTTTTTGAGGCCCAGGGAGTGGTTGTGCTTGTCTGCTGCTAGTCTGATATGAGAATCGGGAGGGGGGAAGGACAACTAAAGGTAAAAAAAAAAAATGCCAAACCAGCAGGATCACAAGGTAGGCATGACAATATACAATATCACATATACAAACAACACACAACAGGCTACTGCTATCTCCATAATATACTTTTTTTCCTGTTACAAGCAACTGACAGGCTGTGGCACCTGGCTAACCCTTCACACGTTTGGGATGCAGAGATAGGAATAGCTGATGCTGTGCGGATTGCAGGGAGGTTCTGGAAGCAGTGAGGAATGACACAAGTTTTGGCTAGGATATCTGGCAAAGGCCCCCAAGATCTTTAATGCTCCTGCCCTTGAGTTTTAAGACTTTGCGCAACGATTTCGTTCCTGCAGCATCAGGGAAAACACCTCTGAGGTACCGTTTCCACTCTTTGCAGCAGCTGCATTGTCCTTGCAGGCTGCCTTTCCACGCACGGCTCAGCCCAATACTATTTAACTTGAAGGTCATGCCTGGAGGCTGTCTGGATTCCAGTTCACAGGGAGAAGGGACAGACCCCATTCACCAACCCCACCACGAGAGACTAGTGGCACTGGAAACACCCCAGACACCCCAATTCCTGCCTGTCAGCCCCTGCCCACAGCCCAGGTCCCAGAGTTCTTACTGTTCTGGCAGATCCAGGGGTTCTTCTCCCTGGCTGTGACTTCGCGAGCCTCTGTCTCCTCCTCTTCCTCACCCTCTGAGAGCAGGTCAGAGATCTGCTGCTGCAGCTCAGGACTAATGTTGTTCTCCGCCAGGATGAGTGTCCGTAGGGCTGTGGGGTAATTCTCTACCATGTCCAGCAAGGTCTGGGCGGAGAGTGAGATAAGCAGGCTGACAAGCAGCACAAACAGCAGCTAGGCTGAGCAGAAAGAGCTTCAGTGCTCTGTCTCCCTGCAAACTCCAGCCCTCCTCTTCTTACCTCTACCTTCCCTTGGCCTTGAGCCTCCTTGGCCAGGCTTTCTGAGAGCCTGAGGACTTCCCATCTTTCTGTGGGAAGAGCCGAGCCTGGATTTCCTGGCTCTATCTAAAGAGGAAGGGACTGCTCTACACCTTGTTGCTGCCACATATCCAGGCTAGTCCCCTCTTACCACTGGGAGCTGGGGCTCTGAGAGGAGAGTCTGTGCTACCAACCCTTGGTCCCTACCTGTCCACAGAGCTTTAAGCTCTGATCCCCAGTCACAAGTCCAACCCCTTACTTCTTCCAAGAAAACCAAACTACAAATAGAGCCGCGTGTTTCTCCCTGCTGACTTGAGGGAGATCCAGGAGCTCTAGGTCAGAGCTGTGGCTTACGAGCTCCTCCTGTGGCCAAATGCAACGGGACAGGGGAAAGCAACAGTGCCCCTGGGCGCAGGGAGGGATGGGGGTGCATGTGGACTGGGGGAGGGGGATGAAGGCAGGTATAGGTCCTAGGGCCTCTATAAACAGCCAAGACCTATGCCCTTGAGACGTCAGTGATGCTGTAGAGTAACTGTAGGCTCTCATACCTGGGCTGACTGGTTGGTAAGTCCTGTTCCCTCCAAGTCCAGAACTTCGAGGGTTCGACTGGAGGCCACAGCGACGGCAAGCATCCCTGCTACCTGGTCACCTGCGGGAGAAGCAAACCGGGGCTGTCAGCAGTGCCTGCCTTCCTTCATGTAATACCACATGACCTCATGGGCCTGGGGCTGTTACAGAAACATCCTCTGAGTATTTCTGCCATCAGACAACCTCCAAATCTCGGTTACCTTGGGGGGAACAAAAAGCCGTTAACTGAGAAAAGAGGCAAGGTAAAGGTGCACCATTTTGTGGTTACGGGATCAGTCACTGATTACCAGGGGGAACACAAAGGAACACAGTGAAATTGTTTTTATTCTCCAAGGAACCTTATCTTCCCAAATCTCCTTCCTACTCAAGGATGCGAGGGCCTTTAACAGCCCTTGTAAGGCACCCCAGACATAGAATAAGGAGCTGAATACCTCAGTCTAGGGGGAGGTTGGAGCTGGACAGAGGACTCTGCACCAACTGATGGACTGCCTCCCTGGAAAGGGGCAGACTTTTGGGGGTGGACACAGCAGGACCAGGAGCATTAAAGATTGATGCTGGTGAACAGACAAGACTGACATTCCCCAGTGAGTGCCAAGATACTGTACAACTGTGAGACCTTCTCTTGGAAAAAAAACAGGCTGCTGTTGGGTAACACCCTGGGGCCTTTCCTGCCCAAAAGGAGGTACCTGGTCAGACAGACAGGGCCTGGAGGGAGGCTGTGTTTCCAGATGGGGTGAGGAGGGGAGTGCCCTGCTGCTGCTCAGGGAGGCATGGCCCCATCTCCTCCTCCCCACCTTGCAGCAGAGCTGGAGAGAGTTGGTTTCTATGGCAACGAGTGCCAGGCTCTCCTCCTCCTCCTCCCTGCTCCCCGGGAACATGAGGGGGGGAGCGCGGGGACATACTGCATCTGCCAAGCCAGCATCAGTGCCCAGGGCTTCAGGAACAGGGGAGACGTGGAGGGTCAAACGTGACGACAAAGGCGGTGGAGCGGTCAAGGCACAACCTCCTTTCTGCACCTCCCCGCAGGGCACGTGGCCACCTCACACAAGCAGAGCAGCAAGGCTGGCTTTCCCTACAGCTGAGGGCACCCGGCAGGGTGAACTCACTGCTGGGGACCAGAAAGGGACCTATGCAAGAAACTGCCCCATCCTGCTGGTGATGCTCTGCCACCCTTCTAGAGCTCAGTCCCTGGCCACCCACCAGCACAAATCGCACAAATGCCAAGAGGCAGCTGTGCAGCGTCCCCTGCTCCTCCTCCCTGCCCCCCCAGCTTACCTAGGGGGTTGTAGTCCAGGTTCAGCACACGGAGCTGTGAGCTGTGAGCCACTGCAATGGCCAGGCGTCCCCAGCCTTTGCTTGTGACGCCTGGGTTGGCGCTCAGCGTTAGCTCTTTGAGGCCTGGAGAAGAGAGAGAAGCCAAACCAGAGCCTTAGGGTCACCAAAGCAGTCTCAGGGGAACTAGTTCAGCTAACCAGAACTGCTTTGAGTCGTGTCCCCTGTACTCCGACGGGCTAAAGGGTTTGGTTTGCTCTGAGAACTGTAATCACATATTTCACTGATCAATGAAATATTTCACTGCCTTCAGCAGTAGCCCTTCATTTGCCCATGCTGTGACTGCCCCATTTCTCTGCTCTCCCCACCTGTGTCCTCCTTAACCTAAATAGCAAACACAATGGAAACAAGGGGTGTGCGAGGTGACTGACCAGGAGAAGGAGGTGGCACAAGGTGACAGGTTGGAAAGAGGGTAACAGGGACAGTAGGCTCTGAAGCCTGCACCTGGGAGGGGTGGCCAGCAGAGATAACAGCATCAGTGGCACTGTGAGCACGCAGGGGAGAAGGTGCTGGGGAGAGGTGGAAAGCACCTTGAGAGTCAGGAGAGAGGGGTGGTGTTACCTCAGCACATGCCAGCTCTCAGCTTAACTGGCCCACTGGCCTCTGACCACCAAAGATCATCCCCTGCAAGGATCTGAGTCTTGGCACTAAGGCTATGACCATGCAACTATACACCCACAGAGTGCACCCGCAAGCAGGGACAATTCCCAGGCGCTGACAGTAAAGCCAAGTGCTGAGGTGGGGGCACATCATACATTTATCTACGGTCATTATCCACACGCAAATGCAAAAGAATAAATTCAAAGTCCAAGCTGTCACCTCCTCCAGTTTCAAATGCTCCTGTCATGAACCAGAAGCAACCTGTTGGTCCCTGAGCTCCAAACTGCCCGCAGGACAGATCAATAGCAGAAACTCCATGCCTGACCAAGGGAACCGCTCCTCAGTTGCTTGGGTTTTCTGCTTTACTTAAGTTAGGGAAAGAAATTCCTCAGCCCAGACAAACTACAGAGCCTGCCTCCTCCAGGGCTGAGGATTTATTGCTGCATGCATCTGCTCCATGTGAAGCTCCACTGGTCATTGTGCAGCCCACAACCCCTGGTGCTTACCGGACTTGGCCCCGTCAGGCGGCAGGAGCCCACAGATAAGGTTGATGCCTTCATCACCCAGCATGCAGTCTCCTAGATCCAGAGCCACCAGCGAGGGGTGGATGGAGAGAGCAGGGTTGAGGAGGGCCAAGCCTGCATCTGTCAGGGGACTCCCATGGAGGCTGTGCAGGTAAAAGGGAAAATTACTAAGCAGCCTTCTTCCTGGGGGCTAACTAACCCTACGGGGAGGGAGAAGGAGATGAAATGAGGAGGATGACAAATCCTAACCCCAGGTGGGGAAAAAGCACTGGGAAGCCTCTGCTGTGAGGGTCAGCCAGCCACTACGGCGACCCTTCTCTCCTGGCCGGGAGGAGGGGGTGCAGGGGATGCCAGCGGGGCAGAAGCAGCCCCTGCCACCGGGGCAAGCCAGATTGGAGGGGCCGGGACGGAAAGCCAGGGCCGTGCCCAGCCGGCGGGGGGAGAGGGGCTCCGTCCCAGCCGGGCGAAGGGCGAGGGGTTACCCTCTGCAACGTCAAGGGCGTTTTTCCTCCGACGAGACTTAGATTCAGCAGCTGACCCGGAGCCGCGAGCCCCTGAAAGAC